TTTAAGATGTTTCTTGTTCGTGTTTTTGTTTGTTGCGGTTGCACCCGAGTCAAGAGCCGAATGGCTCACAGGGCTATACCTAATAAATGAAACTGAACTGAAAGTCTTTCACAACTATGATAATCGGAGGTGCGGCGGAATAACAACACACTAAACACAAAAAATCAGTTCTAAAGAAATTAATTTTCAATTTATACTTAAAAGTGCAGAGCTCCAGTAGCTTCCTAATGTCAGAAGGAAGAGAATTCCAGACGGCCGCAGAAGTGCATCTGAAAGCACGCGATGCAGTGGCCGTCTTGGTTCGATGGCTCGCAGCCAAAGGCCGCTTTTGCTGCGATGATGACCGGAGTTCACGTGATGGTTTATGCTCCTTGACGAGATCAGCAAGGTATTGTGGTTCAATTTTTGTTAATGCTTCCCCCTATCCCCTCTGCTGCTAATCCTGCATAATGCACGGGAAAAAACATGACTTTAAACCCCCCGCCAAACCTCCTACGCATTTCACAAGTAGTACTAATATCTGCATTTACCATAAATATGCTAAAATTCCTATTGATATGCAAATTATTTTGTCAAGGCGCTCTTCCTCCTCCCTCCCAGCTTAAATAGACGCTCCAAGCCTGGGGTGTGTCATTCAGACTTTGTCTTCTCGATAGACCTGTTCTTCACCTGAGGACGGCTGCTTACGTTGTGGCCGAAACGTCGTGAGAATTATTTTATAATGTTTTATTTTTATTATTTTATTATTTCCATTCTACGTGACTTTACCGAAAGAACCAAGAAGATATTGTGGTTCATTTGTGTATTGATCGAATCGTGTGTCTAACAATGTTTGTTTTCGGTGCATATGTCACGTACGTTCAAATAACCCCCACAAATTGCATGGCATGTGAAGGCCGTCATCCAGTAGTGGGTTTACAATGGCGTGTATTGTACATATGTTGTGTGTAAGGGATACACATGGTGCCCGCATGTGCTGGAGACCACTACGTTCACCGCAGTGCTAATCATTTATACGATTGAATTAAATCACGATTCTTGTATGTTGAACTTCTGTCGCACCGCGCGTAGCCAACCGTGCTAATCCGTCAGTACTATATCCTTAATACAGTATTGACAATTAGTCATATCGCCAGCTGTGTGTGGGGGTGTAATAGTTACTGACTTGTCTGTAGCAAACACTCGCTCTCCTGGAAAACCTTGATAGTTGATCTCGTCCAACACTGAGGGGCAGCGTCCAATGCGTTGTCGATGATTTTTCTTCTCTCTCCAATCTTTGACACTTGATATTCTGTAGATCACGAGGTTACCGGTCAGCCCAAGTGGAAGAGCACGGAGGGTGACCTTAAGACGTCGCTAAGTGCCCCGCATAAATTTCGATGTAAAGTGTTGGTGCTTTCGGTAAAGTCACGTATAAGGGAAATAATAAAATAATAAACCATTTTATTTTATTTTATTCTTTTTATCTTGATTATTTTATTATTTCTCTTCTACGTGACTTACCGAAAGAACCAAGAAGATGCCCCGCATAAAACTTGTTAACGTGAAATCGATTTTCTGTGGATCGGGGCATTGGACGAGGGGTGAAATATCTGAGACTCAATAGGCTCATTCATGTAGAAGAAAACTTCACAACAGCCTCCATCAGCTGACTCGGGCCGGACACGCATGGGCCACGTGATGGCGGCACCGTGACGGCCAATCTCCTTCGCCGGGGACACACGAACGCAGGAGATCGAGACGGCGGTCGCACGGAGCCAGGCTCCGATCAACGCCTCGGTTGTTTGGGGGGAGAAAACATCCTTCTATCTCTCTCTCTTTGTCAATCTCTCTTTTTGGCGTTCCTATTTCAGATGAAAAAAGACGCACGCAGAACGCCTCCAAAGTCACCGCTGGAAAACTCCAAAGTTGAGAGAAGCCGCGTGAAGTGGTATCAATTTTGTCATGGAGGGTGAAGGAGATAAAGAAGGTAAGCGTTGGGCGCGTTGTCCCCCCCCCCCCACCACCTCTCCGATTAGCACGTTTTGGCTATGCACAGTGCGACATAAGTTCAAAGTACATATATACATGCGCAAGAAAGAACTCTTGAGTTTGACCGCGTTAAACGGCAGCGTTCCATGCTTATTTTAATCAGCTCCGTGTTTTGTGAACTCTGCATGTGGTGGTGGTGGTCGCGGTGGCCGCGCGGAATTTTGTCAGAGTGTGCGCTGTGCGGTCGAGCAGAGATTTTCTGAGCCCTGCGGTGGGCGAATTTGACCAAACGGCGGCGGAACGGAGGCCACTGCTTTCTTGTAAACCGCGCAACGGAGAATTTGCTCGTGTTCACATGTACAACGCTCTGTTGTCTGCACATCGTCTTGAGACAATGATATCATCACTGTCACACTCTGCATCCACCATTGTGGCCATCGCTACAAAGTTAAGCGTTTCGCTTTTTAAACGGGTTAACTTCCAGCTGTTGAGGCTGTGATTTCTTCACACGTGCGTACAAAGTACACATTGTAGATGATGTGCATATGGTGCCCATTCACAAATCCACTGCTGGATGAGGGCCTCTTGAATCCTTGTGGGTTGGCAAAGACGGCCGGAGTGCAGCACAATGGATTTTGCTGCACCGCCCTCTAATGCCCGCCGTGCCGTCTACACTCGGTGATTATAGACTTGGTGGTGGTGGTGGTCACTCATCCAAGCGCTATCCAGGCTCGATTCTGACGACATCGGATACATTGGGATCCGGGGAGATTGGGTGCATTGTGGGTGATTTGGTCGGTTCGGGGAGTTCTAGGCCAGTTGGAAAAAATCTGTGAATATTGACGTTAGTGTTGCCGCAATTTTATGACACTTTAAAAAAATGCAATTCAACATGAGCCCGGTAGAGAGGATAAACCATAATGAAGGTTGGGGGCACAGAAACTCCGCGGACAAAAAAACCTAACTCAGTGCTCCTGGGATAATGACATTTATCTACTGAGGAGCGCCTCATTGAGATTGAAGAAACTTGTTCAAGTAGGGCCCTGCAATGGGATGTTTCTCCAATGCCATCAATGTGTGTTTGACATGTGGGAGGAAACTGGAATGTCTGGAGATAAGAGGCCGTCCATAAATGACGTCACGCGATTTTTGACGATTTTTGACCCCCCCCCCCTCATCACACGGCGTCACAAAAAGTCAGACCCCACCAAATATGACGTCACAAAGCTCTGCCCCCCCCCCCCCCAAAATAAAACATGCTTCAAATCGCTTTAAACTAGTGTCATTGTAGTGCGTATTTAATGTGGCACTGCACTCTGATGTTGTAGGAGAAAACATTTATTAAAAAGTCTATGTAATTAAGTAGAACGTGTTGTCTATATTCATTTAAAGTTGCGCATTTTGATGTGACGTCACATTTCTCAAACCCCCCCTCCACCCCTCGTCACACATCGTCACAAATGTCTGACCCCTCCCCCACCCCCTAGGTGCGTGACGTCATTTATGGACAGCCCCTAACCCCAGAGCGAGATCTGATAATCCATTGTGGCAACCAAACACCCCGCAAATGCCAAGCTGATGTAACCAAATTGAACCCATTATTAAACGTTAACACAGAGCTCCATAATACCTCTTGCCTGTGATGAAAACAAATGACGTGGAATGCAGTCTGTCTCTGGCGACTGTGCCAGGTGGTGGTCATCTTTGAACAGTGCAGCAGCAGCAGCAAACCCCATTGTTGTTCAGCACTTATTTACTTACGCGTCTATGCTCCCCACGTTGACCAATCAGCTCTGACCCGCGTGGTGAGGTATGACAAAGTAGGACACGCACGGCATGGGCACGTCCGCGCCCAGCAGTGGATCAACACCAGGGCCTGTACGCATGTGCTCCCCTCGCTCCATCATTACCTAACCTATTACTCAGAGAGAGAGAGAGGCGAGGTCTGGTCTGTATTTAGATCTTAGACCAGCCCTGCCTCTCAACCAGCCCCTGCCACCTTCACGTGTTTTTTTCATAGCATCGGTTTATACGCAGCGTAGTCACGTGTGGGGTTTTTTTTTTAACAAAATGACATCGACAGCTGTCCGGGCACAGCCTAGTTACCGGCATTTAAATGATGTACAGCGAGAATACAACGCTGCTGTGGTGGAGCGGTATGGGGAGTGGTTGGCGTGAACCCCACGAACTAAGTTGGATTCCTTCGCCTCGACTAACGTCACTAGAAATTGATGACTGGAACCGGTCCTGGATGCCCCCCCCCCACCCCCTTCACCGTCCGGGCACCGCAGAGCGTGGTGAAGTATGGTCAAACAGCCCTCGTACCGACACGGTGTGGGAAGGCCTTCATTAAGTGACAGATGGCTTTAAATAGCTTTATTTTATTATTCATTTTGGCTGCTTCAGCTACTGCGTAGTCGTATACTTTGTTTTGTTTGAGCAGCTGAATTATATGAGGTGTGGGCAGTTAAATACGACCCGGAACGAAGTTCAGTACTGAGATTGCTGGGAGACATGTAGGGGCTTTGGGTATAAATGTTGTGTTGTTTATAATCTCTCACTATTATTTAAGTGATTTAAGTGGTTATCTATTAATGGATCACCCTGCATTTCTATTCTATTTTTATTACCACGTGAGGCCCACCGAGCTTTTTAGCTCTTTTTCAGAAGCGACCTGGCCACAAATCATAGCTCAACGAAGTGGCTTATCATGTGCAAATTTATAGGAGCCAAATACTCTGAACGCCTTGTTGATTCTAAATGTGGAGGGGAAAACCGATGGCCCCATGCAAAAACAAATCCACGCGATGATACAGGGTCAGGATCGAACCCACGAACCTTCTGTATATTTGGGCCGGTGACCCCGTTGCCAGGGCACACAATGGCCCCATGCTGCACCTCGCCTTGTTAAGCACAACTAAGTCCCTGGCGCGCCCGTCGTCACATCGTAGCGCTTCGTCGCCTTTTTAGGACAAGGAAGTTACGCATGCGCCACGCACGCGACGTTCCGCTGCCAGGCGTAACTCACCTTTCTCACCGAGGTGCCACGGTCCAAACAGCGACACCCACCCACCCACCACCTTTACGGGCACGCACGGCTTTATTGGGTGTCCCCCACCCACCACGCGACGCGCCGCGGTTGTTTTTGCTTCACTGTCACCTCGTCAATAAACCGGAGAAATCTACGCGACACTTCCAATCGATGTGCTGGGCTCGCCGGAACTCCCCGACACCAGCCCAGAGGTCGCTCCGCTGTTGCTGCGACCGTGTCCAGCAGCAGCGGCAGTGGCAGCAGCAGTGGCAGTAGCAGCGACAGTGACAGCAGTGGCAGCAGTGGCAGGTCTCGTGAGACGGTGCCCGGCTGGCACGGAACTCTTTAAACACTGCGAGAGGGGGGGAAGCCGCCGGGCTTGGTGGCAGGGGCGGAGCGGCACTGGAATGTGGCTCGTGCGGGTTGAGGGAGGCAGCGGCGGCCGGGTGAGTGGTTGGGTGACCACCGCCCATCTCGCCAGCCGCGGCGTCTTCGCGTAAAGTTACCTCTCTGGTGTGGAGGCCGCGCTGAGCGGTCCCGTGCTGCCTTTGTGAACACGTCACCGGCACTGACGCTCGTGGTGTAGGCGCGGAGGGAATCGAGTTGCGGGAGGCGCTTCGCACTCTCTCGCGTGCGTGGGCGAGAAGAGACAGAGAAGAGACGGAGAGAGAGAAGAGACAGAGAGAGAAGAGACGGAGAGATCGATGCGTGCGACGCGCGGAACGGTCACTCGGGGTGGAGTTTTGCTCTGACCGTTTGGGAGGAATTCGCCGCGCAAGCAGCAGGTAGGGCAAGGAGCGCGCCGCGTCGCGTCCGATTCGTGTGCTTTGAAGAAGGGCCGTTTTGGCCGAAACGTCGCCTGTTGTGTTCATCGTAATTCAAGGCTACGGTGTCATTTGAGGTTTTTTTTTTGGTCTAATCGTGGAGGGGTGGAGGTGTGGGGATGCTCACGTGATTATGGCGAGCTGCGATCTGAAATAACAATTATATCATCATTATTATATTTTACGAAGTGCCTTTAATAACATATCACGGCGCGTTTTAAGGAATTATTAATGGGTTGAGGGGGTCGGGACGTAATCAATGACCAAGTTAAAATAGGAAGTGCCTTCTGAAGTGATAAATGTGTGTTTTTAGACGGGACTTGAAGATCCTTAAGCGAACTGGACACCTCGATAGCATTTTGGCGGAGAATGCCACAGTCCAGGTGCAGAATGCCACAGTCCAGGTGAAGAATGCCACAGTCCAGGTGCAGAATGCCACAGTCCAGGTGCAGAATGCCACAGTCCAGGTGCAGAATGCCACAGTCCAGGTGCAGAATGCCATAGTCCAGGTACAGAATGCCACAGTCCAGGTGCATAATGCCACAGTCCAGGTACAGTCCAGGTGCAGAATGCCACAGTCCAGGGGTGAAGAATGCCACAGTCCAGGTGCAGAATGCCACAGTCCAGGTGCAGAATGCCACAGTCCAGGTGCAGAATGCCACAGTCCAGGTGCAGAATGCCACAGTCCAGGTGCAGAATGCCACAGTCCAGGTACAGAATGCCACAGTCCAGGTACAGAATTCCATAGTCCAGGTGCAGAATGCCACAGTCCAGGTGCCGCAGAAGTGAACGCCCAGAGGTCGCCCCGGGATCTGGTAAATTCAGAACTGGTGCAGCAGTCGGGCATTCTTGGTGTTTGTGAATAACGGCATGGAATTGACGACAATCGGCAGTTTTTGGTGAAATGTCAGCAACTGCTGCTTTGTAAATGTCGGATAGCTACCACTTGGAGCGTTGAGGTGGTTTCAGGTCAGCTTTGGAAGAAAAAAAATCGAACAAAATATACAATTTGCAGCTTTGTCATGGCATTACCTGATAATTATTGACCTTCGTTTGACAATGATATAACTACAGTGTATCATTAAATACTTAAATCATCAATTCTTAACGATACACCGTATTTAGGGAGTATACAGATTGTTAGAAATTGTGGTAAAACTTGTCTAAAATAACATTTCTGTTGAATTGTATAACAAAAAACAAATGCCGTGGATGCACACCGCATTTGCGTGTGTTGCCACTACAACGGCTTATGCCTGGAGGCAGATGCGAGCATTTGTGAGCAAACAACCTTGAGTCTAAACGCAGCCTCTTCAGGTTGCAGCCGAACGGGTCACATCCCGAGAGGAGCAACAGGGTAACCACGTGGCTCTGGTCAGAGCGCTGACCTGAGAGCGCTGACACCCTGAGTTTGAATCCGTACAACTGCCTGCGATTAAAACCAAATTCTCAAGCGTAAGTGAGTCGATGGTCTCTGCCCGGTCACCCATATTGCCGCACAAATAAACAATCGCATTCAATTTTGATCTACACATAATTTGGTCAAATGACAGCTTTGAGAATGTTTTTTTTTCAATCTGTTTTCTCACTACGGCAGGGTGTGTGGAAAGTGCTGCCCCCCCCCCCCTACTGTGTGGATCAGAGGTCACTTGAAGGGATGTCAGAGGTAGTTCTGTGAAATCCGCTTCCGTGGACCGTTTCTCCAACGCAAATGGGTTTTCGCTGCTCCGTGAGACGTGTGTACTTCGGTGAGCACGGTCGGCTACGTACGACGGGAAAGAAAGTTGAACACACATACATGCGTACGTATTATGATGACGTAACCCCCTATAACCAAATCGGAATACAATTGTGGAAGACAAAACGATTCCACGATACGCTGAGAGCGTCGACCAATTCATTCGGTGAGCGCATCGCTGCTCTGTATGATAGGAATGACCAGCAATACGAGCGCGGAGATGGCATCCACACTTCTCTGTGACATACAAGACAGCATGAGCCTTTAATTACATTACCACGCGCTTGCGTATGTGTGGTGAGCACACATTAAATCCGACCGAACAGGAATGTTTCAGCAGCAGTAGCAGCAGCCTGTAGAACATTTCTTGCACATGCAGCTTGATTTAAATGGGGTTGTGCTGATGGGTAATGCAAATTGCCCGTGGACGAATGCCAATTGGTGCTGCCTACTTCTTAGTTTGTGTGCATTTCCACAGCCACGCACAATGAACACAACAATCGTGCCGCAGCTGTAACTTCTCCCAACACCAGTTCTTGTAGAACCTTCCTCCCCATTCAAGACTTTTAGCTGCCCCTTTCTACAGAGAGGAGTCGTGTTGCTGTAATTCACGAAATCAGCTTAATGGGCCAACAACCTGGCCTGCATGTGAATGTGGAATTGATGGGGTGATGGAGATGGTGGGGGAATTCACAACCCTGAGCGTTGCTTCAGTGGTCTACATTAATCCATGAAGAACAATGTTCATATTTGTGTTTCATTCCTTGTGACTTTGGACACAGCCGATAACAGTGTAATTATCGTCTCCATGAACCTAGCTCTATCCTCTTCCTCCCCATATGGGCATGGTCTCACACGGTCACATCTCAGTTTTGTATGTAAACTGATCGCATTGCTCCATCACCGTGGTGGTCATACTTTGGGTGCATTCCATCCTTCACCTGCCATTCCGTCACCAGCCTTGCCCACTGGCTATCGTCACTTCTGAGCAACGTGGGCTTGCTGTAGCTCAAGATTATTTTAATGCGGTATGATTTGTTTATACAGGCGCACACACACGGCATGTACAGGTTGGTCCAGATGTCTCGTGGCTTCCCAATTAAGTGTCCCCTACCAATTGTTTCCCCTTGCATATTCATTTATACGTTTTAGATAAACCTGATCGGAATTTTTTTTAAGCTTTAGATAATTAGATGGGAGTCACACAAGACATCTGGATCACCCTGGAGATCACAAATCTCCATAAAGTTCTCCATTTGTCATCTGCAATGTATCTTCTCCCCCAAAAAAATTTCGAGGGACACAAGCAAGAACAGTCTGGTGTATTGTTCAATATGTCATTGAGGTAGAGTTGTCTGGCATATAAAAACACGTCTAAATTGATCAAGTGCGTAGCCATCGAATAAACGCACCCACCGATGAGCACGGCTGGTTGGCTACGTGCGGTGCGAAAGAAGTTCAACATACATTCGTGTACGTTGACATTGCGTGACCTCCAGTGCCATTCGCGACATCAGCAAGCACGCGTGTTTTATTTGGACACGCATGGTTTGAAACGCACACCTGTTGAACGAAAATGACAAAATGAAAGATCAAAAGTAGCGAGTAGTTTGGGGCAGAGCGGTCTTCCGTCCCATTCGATAGCGAGCCTCGTGTTTGTGTGCAGTAAAATATGTGCAGATTAATTGTTTATTCAACAAGCCTGCTACGGAAGTGTTTGCTTTGGCTTTGGATCGCCGTGATGTTAAGTCTCCGTGTCCGGAATATTTATTTAATGTCCCACAGCGACTGGCTGGCCTTACTTACAGCTTGTGAACGGAGTACATTATTTAACCTTGCGTACGAGCTACACTTCAAACAAGCACACTTTGAAACGTCGTGTGTTGTGTTATTAACGCACCGCCTCCAAAACGCGTACAGATTCAGAGACACAGCTTGGCGGTACGTGCTTACGATGCGTGTGCTCAACAGCGACGTTGAAATTTGACGGTCAATCCATTGCTGGATGAAGGCCACTGCCGGATGTAACGATCGACCCAGCTCCGTAGTCGGACCTCCTCATGGACACGTTCTAACGCTTGGCTGCTTCTCGGTCACCATTGTTGACCACCGGAAGGGAAATAATTTATCTACTTTGTGCAAAAAATATAATAAAAACAAGACTGGCCAGTACACGAACAGAAACGCGTTGCGATGGTTAAAATAAAAAAATTCTTAACACAGATTTAACTCAACATTAATATGCTGCAGTGTATTTTCCAACCCTTGGTAAACATTTGAAGAATGCTTGCACATTCAAAGGTAACAATTGTATGAAATGTTGAACTTTGATAATCAATGTCTATGTGCACCTATGGTTGTACACACGGTCTGAATTACACACGAAGCATATTGTATAAACTGAACACAGTGTATGTCGGCTTTCAACACTGCCACCACACGCAATTAAACATTTGATTCAGTTGCAGAAAAACGCCATTTCGGATAGGAATATGTCGTACTTTCACATCACCAAAGAGGCCATAAGCAATTCTCTAATGCAGTTGTTCTTAACCTGGGGTGCACGCACTCCCTGGGGGTACGAAGTGCCCTTTCTGGGGGTGCGAGATATGGGCAGATTTTTTTAAGAGGTAAATCATCGAAACACAAATTAAGCATTTGCACGAAAGTACTCTGTTCCATCAAACCGATGTATTTGTTAACATTATACTTGTTTTACGATTGAGAACCAAAGTGGTGCAAGGCTGCAGTAAAGGTTAAGAACCACTGCTCTAATCTATGCCAAATGCAACTTAAAATTACGTCAATAATCCAAAATCCGTGGACACCAAAATGTGTTGCTTGCTTTTTGAAGAGCTCATCAACATTTATGCAAAAATCTAAAATTTATTTGGGTATTTTTCGATCGCCCCCAACCAACCCCCTTACGTGCATTATTTTAGCCTAATCTTGGCAAAATGATCAGAACTTCAAATTTCAGAGGGGATTAACGTAATGACCAGTGTGGGGACTTGAAACCAAAAGTGGTTGACGACATTTTCAACACTGGTCCCCAAGGTTCTTCACAGCAACACTTACCTTTAAAGACCCACAATCACCTACAGGGCAAAGCGTTGCTCTGACGTTGGAATTAAATCTCTGGCGTTTAAATAAAACGCGGCACTTATCCTTCGTCTGGCAACTTGCCAAAAGTGAGTTCGGGGCTTCTGATATTTGTTTTCTTCTAAAAATCCTCGTTCATTATGAGTTTCAACGAGGTGCTACACATGATGGTTAGCGTTTCAATTGAACCCAGTATGATATTTCCAGTCAAGACCACTTTTTTTTTTACTTTAGGTTGACCTTTGGCAGCTCACAACGCAAATGCAATAAGCAAAAAATGACGAGCATTTGTGAACTTCGCAGGTCCAAAAAACACCCCCAGGTGAATTTTTTGTTCAAAAAGTCTGAGACGGTCGAGCAATTGCTGTGATTGAGTTGGTACGGAATGACCCTCGTGAATCCGTACATGGCTGGTGATATTGAGGTGGCTTAATTAGCTGGAAGTCTCAAAACTTGTTCTGGCTCTTTAAATGTAACTAAGCCCACGAGTGGACTGTTGGAGGTAGATGTTCTATTGCTTTAACAAACAGTGGTGATGACTTGCAGAGTGATGTCATGGGGAGATCGATTCTCTCAGAAAAGCAAGTTTATAATCCCTTGCTCAAATCATTATCCTCCAATTGCGACCGCATCCCCACCCACATTCCAGAGTGCACTTCCACATAACCTGTTCAAAAATATCTTGTCTCGGAATGCGATACTTCTGCATTCCTTTACACAATCGAATTCAGTGAATGATTCTCCGATTTACAATGTATCTGATCACCCACACCCATACATTTGTCCCAGCGATGATGCTTCGTGACGGGTTTTCTTTGCGTAAATCACTTCCAGTCACGCCAGGCTCGCACGACCTTCTAAACACAAAGCAAACCCCATCGACTCATGCAATTATATACTCAACGAGACAGTTTTGCTGACTGTGGAACTGTCTGTTGTGCCTCCTAAATTGTGTCTGATTGTGTTTGCGGTTGTGCTATGCAGCTCAGAGTTGTACCACGTACAGTACACCCAGAATAAAGCCATCGGGGGAGAGCTACTATTTTATATTGTTTTCTAGACAGAATCCCTTCACTAATTTCCATCCAAGTTGCCGTCATTGCTCGTGGTAAGTGTGCCACTGGTGAAAATTGCTGCATGTGATTATTGCGCTTAGATTGCCCCAGTGTGTCATCGCCTTCAACGTGGCTACTTGAACCAAAGCCAGGGCCTGCATTTTGTCATCAGGCCTCCCCACATATTTGACCAAACTTCACCACGCTGGTTAGTGCGGGTTGAGGAAGGAGAGAGGCGCATAGACATGGGAGCATATAAGTGCAGTACAACGTTGGGATTTTGCTATTGCCCACAATGGAGCAACATAACCTTTCGACGTAACCCTTAGACCCAAAATGGTGTTGGGGCAGGTACAAAGGGAGACCTATTTTCTCGAGTGAATGAAAGCACGTGACCTCTGCTGTTTTGTCACTAGGCCTTTGCGCGGGCGGCGAGGAGGAGCCGTCGCCACCGTCACTGCCGGTTGCTCCTGGAGACGTGGAGGCGGTTGCGATGGAGGGCTGGCTGAGCGCGTGTGGCCTGAGCCAGGACGAGGCGGCTCACATCATGGAGGTTCTGCAGCGCGATGCGCATCTGCGCCAGCTCGAGGATCGCAAGATCGGGTCGGTGCCACCGGAGAGCATTGGGTGGTTGGCCCAAGGATGCGGGATTCTTTTATTCGGGGGAATTTTGAGGTAGAGATCAAAGCACAGAGCTACCTCCGCTGAGATTCTGGATTTGCTTGCCAGCAGCTACCATTGGCTAAACTTTATTCTCACAGCTAGGAATGTGATGTGTCTCCACCGGATCAATTGCTGCACACACAAAAAACCTCTCACGCACAATTTAGTTCTGCACTTTATTTGGCTAAATTCCATCTGAGGATTAATTGGCAAGCGTTAATCTCATATGGCAAAGCGGGTGGGAGATTGCTACCCTTTCCTGTTTGAACCAGAGGTCAATTAAAGGCATCTCTGAGGTAGTTCTGTGACATCTGCTTCTGTGGGCCATTCTCCAACATGACGGATTGCACTTGCACTGTGAGAGATCTGAATTGATACTTTGTCTCATGGCATGGTACTGTTAGCACAACCGGGATAAAGTTGGGCGAAATTAGCACAAATTAATAAAATATTAAATTGATGGAAATTCCATCTTACCAGGCCATGACCTCCAACCAAAACTCATACCAGGGGAGTAACTATTGAGTGTGCAAGAGGGTCAACTGCATCAGGCCCCAAGGCCAGATGGGGCCCAGGCAATATGCTCCACAGAAGTGGGAAATTGAACGGGGAGGGAGGGGGGAGCATTTCATTCCAGTCCTAGGACCAATTACAACCACTGACGAGGGAAAACCTGATGACATTATAACATAATACTCTCATAACTCACTTATGGTCATACGGCCCTGACTTTTCTTTTCTCTTTTCCCTCTGAAAATCTTAAATGTTTGAATCCAAATGACAAAGGGCCCTGAAATATATAATTTGTGTCACCCGACTGGAAGGAGATTGTACTGACTGCTCCTAGCGGATCTCCAGCCACTGCTGTCCGTCGTGGCAAAGGCGATGGCTGGAGGGGGTGGTGGGCGGGGTGCGGCACGTCGCGAGAGAGGAGCCGTTCCGGAGAAGAAGAGCGAAACAACACCGGTCTTTGTGCGCCGGCAGTGTCACGCGCCATGCCTATGTTCAATCCTGCCTCATCCCTTGCATCTGTGGCTCCTCTTTTATATTTGGTGGGCGGTAGGGTGGGGGGACATCGTTGGCCAACTTTTAGCGCTGTGCAAGTTATCTCCTCTAGCCTGTCGTGTAAGGGCAACGGCGAGAGTCATTGGGGGACCGTTGCTTGTGTCCACACTGTTTGTATTAGATTAGTCAGTCGCCAATGAAATGCTCCTAGCGTAGGCAACCGGTTAATGGCTGTTTGAATATTTTTTATTATGAAGTTACTCACTATGCATAATGAATTTTCTTATGGCTAACTTCTTAATTAAAATATCATGGCGTTGAAGTAATTTGAGCGCATGCTGCAATATCATGTTTTTAGAAGCGAAGCTATTTTTCTTGTTACGGCTCGCAAGGAAAGTTAATACGATATGCGTGCTTTTGAGTTGTGACGTCTGCTTACCGTCCTGCAAGGGAGGCTGCGTTGTCCGCAGCGGATGCTCCGTGCGCCACGCAATTAAGGCTTCACAACCCAGTCTATTTATAATTTAAATGCTACTCTGAAAACTTAGCGGATCTGTTGACCACAAAGAAGCGCCACTGCCCAAAACGTCACCAACTATGTTTCCCCCCCCCTCTCAGGACTTGACGGATGTGTTGATTTTTGTTGTTGTTATTTGTGCCTTCTGATGCAGCGCTCAATGATAGAGGCGGTGAATGAAGTTGTGATTAGTGATGACAAATAAAGCCCAAACACTCTCGGCTACTTCACCTTTGCCGTGGTTCAATGGATACATGCAGCAAGGGGTCGTCCATAAATGACGTCACGCACCTAGGGGGGGGTCAGACATTTGTGACGATGTGTGACGAGGGGGAGGGGGGTTTGAGAAATGTGAGGTCACATCAAAATGCGCAACTTTAAATAAATATAGACAACACGTTCTACTTAATTGAATAGACGTTTCATCATGGGATCTCCTTTGCCAGTACCAAAATATACTAATAGGGTTTTTCCCCTTTTTTTGTTTTTTGTTTGCATTTGACTGCAGGTATTGTGGTTAATGTAAGCATGATTCCTTGCAAAAGGTGTCAGTTTTGTTGCCAGAAAAAAGGGGAAAAACCCTATTAGTTGAATAGACGTTTTAATAAATGTTTTCTCCTACAACGCCAGAGTGCAGCGCCACATTAAATACGCACTACAACGACAATAGTTTAAAGCGATTTGAAGCAAGTTTTATTTTCAAAATGGAAATATGCTTTTGGAGGGGAGCAGAGCTTTGTGACGTCATATTTGAGGGGGGGGGGTCTGACTTTTTGTGACGCTGTGTGACGAGGGGGGGGGGTCAAAAATCGTCCAAAATCGCGTAGAGCTTCATGTTGGTCGGTGTCTCGGCTAGGATAGCAACGATCCATCCATGACAGTTGACAAGTTTGAAACGGCGTCAGGAACATTATTTTTACATCCAAAACATTCATGATCGCGAGAATCACTCGTGATTGTGAAGACTACAAGTGCCGCACACACGCGCGCACACACGCTGTCCTCTTTGTTATGTATTTGACTGGCTTTGTTTTGACGAATGTTCTCAAACACGTAACCTCGTTGTGCATTCACATTGGTCAGATCTCGAGGGCAACACGTTACTTTAATTACTTTGTTTTCATTTCACTTCAGCTGATTTATTTCGTCCTTGGTTTGCAATGCCCTTGATGCCCTTGTACGAAGGGCGCTCGACCCAAAAAGTTTATTATTTTGATAATGCTCAACTGCGTTCAGCGATGTGACGCATTACAGCAAACACCGTTGAGGAAGGCAACGGAGGAAGCCACCTCGACCATTCCTCGCGAGACGAGGCTCAAGAACCCTCGGGCGGCGGCACTGTGGGGCGCAATGGAGGGGAGAGGGATTGGATGGAATCAGTGGAGCTTGAGCCATGGAAGCACCCTTGGGAGAGAACTTAAGAATAAGAAGACGGTTGTTCTGTTTTCACTCTATTACAGTTCACCAGTCATGTAAAAATAAAAAAAACGTGACACTCCGATTACAAATTTTAAGCACTTGATAAATACAGATATTTAGTGCCTGGTGAATAACAATGGATCACGGTTATGATGATAAAGATGATTTTGAGTGTCTCACCCCGGTAATGTAATATTTAAATCCCTGTTTCTCTCAGCGAGCTGAAGGAGCACCTCCAGGAGAAGAAGAGCATGATGGGACTCCTCGCGCGGCAGGAGGCCTTCAACGACAAGTGCTGCATCCTGTGCTACAGCCCCTTCCTCATCCTCATCAACTCTCGCGAGCGATGCCAGAGCTGCTGCCTCTACGTGTGCCGTGACTGCAGCGCCTACAACCGGCAGGCCAAGGCACGGCTCTGCAGCGTCTGCCTAAAGCAGAGGTAACCGTGACCCCCGCCGCCCCCCCATACCCCAGGGCCTCCCATCACCGGCGGCCTCTCCGTATTATTATTTAAGTAATTGATTACTTCTTGGTTCTTTCGGTAAAGTCATGTAGAAGGGAAGTAATAATATAATAAAAATAAAACATAATAAAATAATTCTCACGACGTTTCGGCCACAACGCAAGCAGCCGTCCTCAGGTGAAGACCAGGTCCGTCGGGGAGACAACGTCGTGAGAATTATTGTATTATGTTTTATTTTTATTATTTTATTACTTCCCTTCTACGTGACTTTACCGAAAGAACCAAGAAGATGAATCCCTGCAGTCATGAAATCTTTAATTTAATTGATTACTCTCCCGATTATCGGTTCAAATACTCGACCAAGTTGGGTAACTTTGACACGAAGGCTTTCGCGACGAACACGATTCACGGTTGTTTTTTTTATGGGTTAAATCGCGTGAGTAAAATGTGTGTTGTGCACCCTCCTCCACCCGACACAGACAATGAATAAAGTTCTTCTTGGTTCTTTCGGTAAAGTCACGTAGAAGGGAAGTAATAAAATAATAACAATAAAACATAATAAAATTATTCTCACGACGTTTCGGCCACAACGCAAGCAGCCGTCCTCAGGTGACTTTACTGAAAGAACCAAGAAGATGAATCCCTGCAGTCACGAAAGCTTTAAATCGAAAAATGAATAAAGTTGTCATAAAAACCGAAGCGCCGATTTACTACTGCTTCAGCAGCACCAGTATGTTGGAGAACGATCCAGAACATTTACAACATCTTGCTGGTAGTTACAACCAACATAATCAGATAGTTGTCTGATCAGGCAGTTGCCACAATATCGAATCTAATAGTCTTAATCGGTTGACATGCTATGCCCAAATAAAAGGCTGTTCCATGATTATGCTAATGATTGCCGTCATCCTTAAAGTATCTGAAATGTACGTCCTCAATCGTGGAACTGCCCTGGCACGGTTTGGCGGGGCGCGCAATGCTCCCGTCTCCCCTCGCCTCAAATTTACCAACTTATTTGATTAATTGTTATTGAATTGTCACGATTTGGGGTCCTGGTTTCATTTAAGGATTACTTTTTTGGCTTGTTTTTACTATCTAGTTTTTATTGTGTCTAATTTTAATGGCCAACATATAATATTAGCGTACACTTTCTATGTCACGTGCATAAACCGTAAAACAAAACATTGTTACACGTATGATTCGATACGTGTATTGTGAGCATCTCAGTCAGTCGACACGTGGCACCTGGGTCTGTCCCCATGACCTCCTGCCAGCAGGCGTTCGACACATCACGTGGCCTCAACGTGCACATAGCCTGGCACAAGCGCCGTGGTGACGTCACCGCCACTTAGTGGCCAATGGCGGTTGTTGTTTGTGTGAGCATGATAATCGATTTGAATCAATCAGTGCATTGTTACACAACTACTGATTTGCATGAGTTAATATTTTTGCATACAACACTGTGTATATAACGAATGTTACTTATGTGTGCACTGTGCTGTATAATTTATGTGACTTGGCAGTGATTGAGACCAGCGGAAAACTCTCCACTGGAACGTTATGGCCCTAAGAGGTGCCATGCTGAACCGTGTGTGCTCTACCACAACATCCCGGCATGTTCAGTGAATCTCAAGAAAATACGGACACGGGACCTTGGCAAGGGGATTTAACCTCTGACCTCTGCGGTCGTTTCTAATTACTGGGCGGCTGTGCTAATTGAACCGTTAAGTGCGTGCCCCAGTAGGCCAACAGAGGTGCATCCCGAGTGTTCGGGCTTCGCACGTATGAGTAACCGGCGACGCGGTGTGTTCAATATGCAGCAGCACAGCAAGTAGGCTGCCATAAATCTGCGTTATGCGAGGCCCTCAATACAGGTGGACGAATCAATGGGTGTAGTTCACAACTGATAAGGAGGCACCTGGCCCCACCCCCACCGGTGTTCATGCGACTCGAGTGAATCGGTGAATCGGCGAGCGCCGGAGATCAATACAATTGGCGTGGCCGCTTTGGGCGATGGATGATGTCCCCTTGCGCCGTGTCGCTCGCACAGGCTCCTGAAGGCGCGATCGTTCGAGTGGTACTATGACATGGTGAGGAAACGCTTCAAGCAGTTTGGCAGCGCCAAGGTGAAGCTGTGGCTCTCTCAGCTGCTGCAGGGCCCCCAGAAGCAAGAGGAGGAGGAGGTGGTGGTGGTGGAAGGAGGTACGACTCGTTTCGTGACGTCAGATTTTTAGCTTGCAACTTTAAAAAAAGGAAGTCAGGTATCTCCACAGGCCTGAGCGCACCTTTTTTCGTCCGATGAGTTTCGCGTCATTTACTGGAAGTGTTTCTAATTAGTTTGGTGTCTTAAACGGAGGTTGAGGGGCACTTATTTTCACTGACAGCAGAGACTCTACATTCCTATTTTAGGGGCCGGTCTCTCCACGGGACAACGATTGGTGACCAGCAGTAACCATCTCTAGTGTAATTCATGCTGTGCACTTGGTAGTCGCAGTGGTTAGGCACTGTACTGTGAACCCAGTGACCTGGACCTCGTTCGACTCCCAGCCGTGGCTAACAAGGGTGGCGAGTTTATATCTGAATCAGACCCGAGTTCCCTCTTCACTAACCCACACCGACCAACGTGGTGAAGTAAAATCAAATAATTCCATTACCGACACGGCATGGTTAAAGCTTTCATTCAGTCTTGGATTGATAATATAATGAATGGCTTTAGAGCTGGTTTTTTATTAGAATTTCCACGGAAAAGCCACAATTAACAGCCCTTTCACATAGAATCAAGAGTTGAAGCGGACATCAATAATTTGCCTCAGGAGACACAGGTATGTGGTGTGCACGTATTGAACGTCGCTAAGTGCTTCTGTAGTTGTAATGTTTGACTCGCAATCCAAAGGTTGTGAGCTTCAATCCCAAATGACTTCGATGACTCAGCCCATCATCATTATTCCAGAATTGATAAATGCACACCACGTGTCTAACAACACCACTGAAGATCCTCTGTTGTTGTGCACAAATTGCTCAGACACGTGTAACTGCGGGGGATTTCCCCTTCTTTGGCTGACACTCCCTCGTTAGTCTCAACTAATTGGCGATGCGAAAGTCGAGAAATTATATCACGTACATTGGCGGTGGCACTGGATGCATACGGAATGATAATTGTGGGAATTTCCCTCTGATAAGCGCCATACGTGGCTCAATCTTGACGTATGTATGTTCAACTTCTTTCGCTCCGTACATAGCCAACCGTGCTAATCGGATCAAGCGTAAGATGAAGTGTGGTGACACCATTAGTCTACAGGAGGCTACTGGGCCCTTAGTAATTTCTCATGCACCGACAATGTATCCACGCCACACAGCCAGCCGCCCTCATGAACGGACCCACGAGTTGGGAACCGCTGGCCGAGCTGATAAACCCATCCCGCCACGGTGCCATGGGCTTGGCTGTGCCCGGAGTTAGTCTCATGCGCCGGGGCTCTCACGAGAGACAACGCGAGCTCGGCCTGCCCCAGAGGCCTCCGTCCGTCTCTCCTGCAGCCGCTGGGAGGAAGCATCCCTCTCAATTATCCTTTGGGGCGCGTCTGTCGGTGGTGGCAATTTGGATGAACTCGGCGTCAGAGCCGGCCCAGCCACTAAGCGACCCTTGCAATTGCAAAGGGCCCCGTGGCCAGCAGAGGGCCCCCTAGAGTCACTGCTAGCGAGTGGGTGAAAAAAATCATACATCAATGGGGCCTCCAACCAAATTTTGCTTAGGGCCCCCAAAGGTCTCGGGCCGGTTCTGCTCGGCATGGTCGCGAGGTGGCGGCAGTAGCAGAGGTCGCAACCGGGTACCCGATACTCGTACCCTACCCGATACCCGGCTACCCGTACCCGGTAACGGGTACCCGTTTGCGACCCTGGTGCGGCCGGGTACGGGTAGGCCGTGAGTCACTGGTGAGTCACCGTTTGTCACTCGTAGTAGGTTTTTACTCTTTTAAACTGGAACAAAACTGACACCTTTATTCAAGGCATCATGTTTGCAATAACCACAACACAAGTAGTCAAAAAAGCAAACAAAAAGAAGCAACTCTGATAATGATAATAATATGCACTGTCCTTGAAGTTGAGGACAGTGCATATTATTATCATTATCAGAGTTGCTTCTTTTTGTTTGCTTTTTTGACTACTTGTGTTGTGGTTATTGCAAACATGATGCCTTGAATAAAGGTGTCAGTTTTGTACCAGTTTAAAAGGGTAAAAACCTACTACTATATTTTGCCACTGGTAAAAGAGATCTCATAGTGTAAACGTTTGTCACTTATTTCGGGTGGGGTACGGGTAGGGAACGGGTACCCGTACCCGGCCGGGTACGGGTCGCCCTTTGCGACCCTGGTGCGGCCGGGTACGGGTAAGGAATCAAAACCCGTTTGCGACCTCTGGGCAGCAGCCGCCCCGACGCGACAGCAGGTGGCGCGCAAAGCCCTCCCGTGAACGCGCACGTTCCGTGGTCTCTCACTCATCCCTCCGCCTGCGAATTCAAGTCACACTCTGGGCGTGACGGAATTCTCTCCCCATACGCAGATGAGGGTCAAACAAGTTCGAGTTAATTCAAGTCGTTCACTGCACGGGTGCCCGATCCGCAAAACAACGCGGAGGAGGCATCACAGCGATACGCTCCCGCTGCTGCTGAAGCGGTCATCTGGCTTGGCCACCTGATTGTGAAACTGAAGTTGTCGTTCGGCATCTGCATCGGCAGCCGTACGAAAGAAGAACCGAGAGAAATAAGATTAACTGCACGCTTAATGCTGCAGGGGTATTAGAAGCAACGGTTAAGGACGTTTTAAAATTTACACTTGAGAATATTGACAGTGGGAGCCATGAAATGCATCACTGCAGGGCACGTCCACCAAGCAGATGGAGATATGAAAGCAGCTCTCTCTGTGTGCAGGTGATAGCCGGATAATTATCACGTGGAAACATCGTAAGACCTGGCGACGGCTTTGTTTGTGCTGTTCATTCAACAGTGGATTGATCATGGCTGGCATTGAATTGTATTATTATGTCCTGTTCTTGAGAGTATTTTTTTTTGCTAAGGCTCGACGTACCATGGAGAGAGGATGCATTTAATGACATTTCCCATTGAGAAGGTTACGGAGAGGGAATGCATTTTTGGAGGTGAACATGAGTAAGGTTTTTATTTGTATTATGTAAATGTTTGTATAGCCAGCCAGGGACATTTTGTTTCTAATAATATTTAGTTTCCTACACTTATTGGAGGATGGCTGTTTGTGTGTTTGTTTGTTTGTTGTTGACATTTCTTTATTATTTAAAAACGAGGACCTTGTGTGCGATGGATGTCAAGGTCGTTCTTGAGACCTACGCGTGTGTGCCATTGTACACGTCAAGGTTAAGGCCCCAGGAAATGTGGACACTCCACGAACAACACTGCAATAGCAATGCCTGATGAACACGGATGTCGAGTACAAAAGCGACTTTAATCAGCTACCTATTCCGTGGATGTGTGTGTGTACGTACCTATGTTGAACTTATATCGACACTGTACGTAGCCAACCGTGCTTATTGAAGGAATTGTAAGATTTCCGTCGGCGTTTATGCAACACTTTTATTTTTTGTAACTGAAATTAATACAATTACAAATGTGCATTTCTAATAATGCGTTGTATCTTCTTTGCAAATCGCAGAAGCTGTTGAAAATGTTGAAAATGGAGGATATAAGCGAATTAAACCAGGTAGGTCAACTACGTGATGCCATGTTACAGTAACACCGGTCCCTGGGCACCGCATCGCGCGCTTCCAGATGCCCTTCTGGGCCGTCTGGAACGCTCTTCCTTCCAATATTTGAAGCCACTGGAGCTATGCACTTTTAAATCCTCAAAATGTAAGACTCATTTTTTGAGAACAGTTTTTGTGTGTCTGCTCTGTTGCCCTTCCCCCGCACCTCCGATGACCACGTTTGGCTACATATGGTGCAAAAGAAGTTCAACATACATACATACACCATACTTCACCGACCCGTGGTGACCGGCGTGGTAGCATCTGGTCGAACAACTCCCATGACCCACATCGTGTGGTGGGGCCTTCTTCCAGTGGTGAATTGGCAAATGGCTGTGAAGTAAAATTTTTTTTTGTTAACACTTGTACTTTCATAAAATATTATTTTGGTCGTGTATAACCATTGACATTAATATTGGACCACTCGGTTGGTAAACACCTAACACACAGATATAAATGTATAAAATAAACATGCTAAATTACTGCATTGCATTACCACATGTGCATGTTCCAATGACACAATTTACATGTCAGCAAAAATAAACCACAGGGGACCTCTGCACAGTAAGAGTGAGTTGTCCATGTGCACACTGCAATAATAACAACAACAGCGAGCACTTAAAAACACATTTAAATGTTCTGGAAATGTGTTAGCAGTCGAGTACAAAATACAATTTGTATTTATAAAGCACCTCTGTGAACCCCATTTCGAGAGGCTGCACAGAAACAGTGGAACACGGACGTCCTGGAGACGGGGGGGGGGTATTTATTGTACGTAGAATTGATAGAAATGCAGACAGTCGTAGGTAGAACACACGAGCAACAGGAGCAGGGGATTCATCTTCTTGGTTCTTTCGGTAAAGTCACGTAGAAGGGAAGTAATAAAATAATAAAAATAAAACATAATAAAATTATTCTCACGACGTTTCGGCCACAACGCAAGCAACTCTGTCGCCTCGACAGACCTGGTTTTCACCTGAGGACGGCTGCTTGTGGCAGAAACGTCGTGAAAATAATTTTATTATGTTTTATTTTTATTATTTTATTACTTCCTTTCTACGTGACTTTTACCGAAAGAACCAAGAAGATGAATCCCTGCAGTCACGAAAGCTTTAAATCAAAATTTAGGAGCAGGGGAGTCGACAGCACAGACGACTGAAGGGATTTCCAGACCCGGGGAGGGAGGGGGACTTCAGATTAGTAAAGAGTGACCTCATGTGGAGTGTTTATTGACCGGAGGCTTTGATATGAAGGCCTTGGATGCTGGAGCGGAGAGTGCGTGGAGAGGAGTAGAGTGAGAGCAGAGTCCATGGATGGGTCTCAAAGACAGTGAGTGTGATCTTGAAGTTGATCCAGGACTGGGTAGGGAAACTGTGGAGGGTTTGGAACAATGGGGTGATGTGGTCTCATTCACGGGTGCGAATGAGAAATCTGGCATCGCATTTGGAGATTAGTTATCTGGAGCAGAGAGTTGCAGTCGTCAGGTCGGGATGTGATTAAGGCGATGAGTGATAGGGTCTAAGTGGTAGTAGGGGTAAGTAAATGATGCGGGAGACGTTGCATGTATTGTGCACACTGCCACTCTGACTGAGTTTTGAGCATATTGTAATTGATTTGGGAAACCTTCACGATTGAGGTGTTTATGAATGGAGTTACCAAGCCAAAACGACAAAGAGCCCCAGTTTAGCCTCATACAGACTGTTGGTGCAAGTGATGTTAGCGAGCACCTATGAAGGCTGGCACGGCACACAAGGGGGTGGGTAGCCAACACCACGCCCAATCGCCTTTTGTCTCCCGAGTGCTGATGTTTACATCGCTCCAGCTACTCAATCAAGGCTGGGTCGACCTAGTGGAGGCTAAGGACGGATATTGGTTGTGAGGAGGAATCGAAGTCGGACCGCTGGGTTCGTGGCTCGGTGCGCTAACCACTGCTCCGCTACTTCATCACAAACATCCGTCACCTCTTCAGGACAAAAGTTTACTCGTGCCAGCGTAAAGAAATATATAATCACTCCATACCCAATCGTTTATTCCTCCAAAGTCAGCTCTGTTGCACCACTGTGATCCATAGTTTTTGCCTTTACTAATCGATCCTCAATTCCCACGATGATTGGATATGATACTCCTGAACAGGCAACTGGGCAACTGCTGGCTGGTTATATATGGAAAGCTGGAGGTTTTGTGTGGATAGCCGTGGAGATCATGGTACGGGGATGGAGCGCAACGAGCGTCGCGCTAACTGTGGATGCGTGGCGTCGGCACAGACACGCAGATGTCAGAGGAGTGGGTGATCGCCCTGCGCATGGCTCAGGACGCGGTGCAGGATGCCGTGGACACTGCGGAGGCTGAGGCCGACAGCCTGGTGAGGACCCAGAGTCGCTCACTCGAGCGGTGATGAAGCACGTGCAGGTTTACCCATCTTCGGACCGCTCACGGGCCGTTAATCATGGCCAGGGGCTTTTACGATCACAAGATCACAGTGCACATTTCGTAAAATTGAAATGAGCGGAGGCTATGAAAGGCTTCTTGATTGGTGGTGGGGTGGCTCAGTAGTCAGAGCACTGATCTGCTAAATCCGGAAAGCCGTCTGTGATTAAAGTTGGTTCTCAAGCACAGCGAAGTTGACAATCTCAGCCCGTCACCAATGAATGCGCAAAGAAAACCCGCACGATATCAAATGTTGGTTCTGCGCTAAACTTGGCTGTCAGGCGACATGCCTCATTGTGTAGATCAGAAGGTGACGTGGGTGGAAGTCAGATGTAGTTCTGTTTCATCCACTTCTGTTGGCCTTTCTCTCACACGAATTGCTGCAATGCTCTGTGGGAGTTCATCTCATGGCTTGACGCCAAAAGCCCAATTTGGATAAAATTGTGGAAAATTGGCTAAAATAACGAAAGCAAAATTGAAAAAAATATAAAATATACCGTTGTGGGCAACACATCACAAGAGCACCTGGGGGTTCATTTGTGTTCACCTTTCGAAATTGTTTCATTAACCCAAAGCCATCTTTGCAAAGTGTGTTCTCAGCCTGTCTCTATGATCGTACTCACACACTCTCTGCTCATAATGCTTTTCCAGCGGATAAACAATGCATCCGTCTTATACACACACCTGTGTTGAGCGAAGGCTCTGCGTGTGTGCAACTCTCCACACACTCTTAACTGCCTTTTTGACGGTTGCCTTGGATGTGCGTTAATGATGTTTTTTCTTTTTTGTTACGTGGGGAACTAACATCTGTACAACAGGAGGCACAAAATGAGCTGCAGTTCTTGAAGGAGCATCGTATGGAGGTGACCGAGGAACTCACCACGACCATTTACCAGCAGGTATGTTTGTATGTGTGTTGAACTTCTTTTGCACCTTACGTCGCCGGTGCAAAAAGAAGTGTGCTGATCAGAGGTGCAGGTAATCGTCACCTGATGCCCTCGGGAAAGATGCAAAACTATTTACAAAGGTGCACCTGAGCTCGCAATCATTAATAATAATTACAATACAGTAATATGAATACAGTAATAATAATGTTGCCACGGTGACGAGATGTTAACGAGCTTGCGCGGTATATAGGAGGTCGTAGGTTCAATCCCAACCCCTCGGGTTTTACATCCATATTTAGAAACGTACGCTTAGAATATTTGGCTGCTATACATTTCCACGTGATAAGCCACTTTGTTGAGCTGTCATTTGTGGCCGGGTAGCTTCTGAAAAAGAGCTATACAGCTCAGTGGGCCTTACCAGGTAAAATAAAGAATAGTTTAGTTTTTAAATACATTTTAAATTCCGGTATTATATTTCTAAGTTTTAGTTCTCCCCACTGCCCAAAGAGTATATGTACCTCCACATATGTACATAACAAGTGGATCTCTTCTAACCTTTTGCGGCCTAGTCAGTCTGCTCAAGGAAAGCCCTGGTAGGGTGAACTAAATCTAGTAGGGTTCATAGGCAGAGTCAGTTTTTTGTTGAATGCCTTGGTCAAAGGTCATACATGACTCACAATCAGTATCATAGGTCTGAGGTTCATTTTAGTCATGTTGAACCCTCCCTCAATTCAGCAAAAACATACCAATTTAGCATTCTGTAGATGACTGACGTACAACCGAAGTTGTAGATGAATCACGGTAATGATTCATCAGCAAATCATTACACGACTACTAATCATCTATTATTTGAAACAACAGACTTCGGTGTTTACTGGTAGATGAATGGAAGCACTGAGCACAACAATTGGTGTCTGCTGCCTGCCACTTGATGCTGGACAGCATCCAACGACTGAATTGATTCACATTTAGGGGGAGAAAAAAAATTAAGGCAACGCGCTGGTCGCCAATAACTCAATTAGCAGCAACAACAAAAGACATCAACGCATTAGTCGTGGCTTCAACGAGGAATATTTGTGTGGCAAGGATGTTGATCTTTTTGTGCACAGCCTGACCGAATGTCAAGAGCTTACAAACTAATCAATACCTGTTTGACGTACGAATCGATGCATGACCAAACACTTCTTGCGAACCACCGTGTGGTAATTATTGTGTTTAAAATAGGGCCATCGGTTCAAAAGGCACATTTGGATCTTTCGAGTCATTGTGTGCGCCACTGCGCATTGAACGGTTGACCCAGGCCGCTACGTAGAACTATTCCTGGCCATGGTTTACAGCAGCAGCAGTGGTGACAATTGCTTTCTAAATCTGGACGGTGCCTTCCCTAGGTGATCTAAGCCTAAAATTAGTACCTGGGACAGCGGTGTAATGAAATCCACAACTTGGCAAATAAAGACAACCGGGCATGCCTGTGTCTGGCCACACATCCTGCTCACTCATGCGCTCCATCAGCCATAACAGGTGCTCGTTAACCAGCATCCCCCCCCCACCCCCGCTTGTCTCTTCAGCTAAATAGGGATCTTTGTCTGTCTGTGGATTGTATATACTGTATATATATATGTGTGTGTGGGGAAAGGTGGCGCAGTGGTGCTCGCATGGAGAACCAACCCAGCTACCTGAGTTTGATTGCCGGTCACTGATCTTAGCAGTGACCAGTGATATCTGAATGTGTCCTGGGCTCAGTCTTAAGGTTAAAATTGGCCTTAAATGAATACCTGGTGCATTGTGTAAACATCAGCACCGGGGACAAAAAGGCAGCTGGGTGTGGTGCTGGCCACACAACCATTTTGTGCGCTAATCTGGCCTTAAAAGGTGCTTGCTAAGAGCACTTGCCCCAAGAGGTTATGTAGGCTACAGATGATGTCTTTGTTGTGTTGTTGAGAGTGGTGGTTCAGTGGTGAATGTACTGCGCTTTACACCTGGCAATTTGAGTTCAATTCCTGGCAACGGCTAACATCAGTGGCGAGTGATATCTCAAAGAGGTCTGGGCCTATTCTCGGTCGACTTAGCCTTAAATGAGTACACGGTTGAGCGTGTAAACATTATCCCAGGGAGAGATAAAGGTGGGTAGGCGTGGTGGTGGCCAACAGCCACCATTATAAATATTTATAGTTGGAGGGGGCCTGGACAAAACGTTGCAGCGAGAACAAAATGCACAATGGACAAACGCAAATCATATCGTCATCCAGCATTAGACGCCTGTTTAAAGTTTGTCTCACATCGACTGTATCGTGTGTGTCCCCCCACTCTGAGTTTCGGTGAACACTCGTCCTCCCACCTACACTGACCTCGTCAAGGAGCATGAACCATCACGAGAACTCCGGTCATCCTCGCAGTGGCGTTCGGCTAGCCATTGAACAAAGACGGCCGCAGCATCGCACACTTTCAGATGCGCTTCTGTGGCCGTCTGGAACGCTCTTCCTTCCAATATTAGGAAACCGCTGGAGCTATGCACTTTTAAATCACCTAGGTTGAAAACGAATTTCTTTAGAACTGCTTTTTGTGTGGAAGTTCTTCTTCTTCCCCCGCACTCGCAAATAACGCGGTTGGCTATGTACGGCGCGAAAGAAGCTCGACACACACGTAACTACTGTAAACAAGGTGCCGCTGTCGGGGCCAGCGTGGCGACCACACGTACCTGACGCGTTTCCGACCGTTCTTAACCGCGCGTGCCCTCTCTCGCCGCAGCTCATGCGGCGCCATCGCAGCTCGCAGGCGTCAGCAACGGTCGAGTGGAGCCGCGAGCGCATCGGCTCACGGCGCCTCTCCGTGCCGAGCACCGTGTCGGAGCAAGTGTTCAACGCGACGCGCACCGACTGGTACCACGAGGCCGCGCTCAGGGTGAGCTGTCTGCCTGCCTGCCTCATCATTATTATTGTTACTATATAAACAATTTTGTTTATTTTACCAGGTAAGGCTCGCTGAAGCTACACAGCTCTTTTTTCAGAAGCTACCTGGCCACAAACGTTAGCTCAACGAAGCGGCTTATCGTGTGGAAATTTAAAGCAGCCACATTCTCTAAACGCGCGTTTCTAAATGTGGAGGGAACAACCGGAGGACCCGCAGAAAAACACGCGCGGCCATGGGGAGAGAACATGCAAACTGAAAATATACAGCAGGCGTCAGGGTCGGGATCGAACCCACCACCGAGGTAGTTAACATCTCACCAGCACGGGATGCTATTATGCCGTTCCTTATTGTGGTGTTGCCCACAATACGTCCCGGTACAATGAAGATGACAACGACGATGACGAAAAAAAAGGGACATCTCTTGGGGAGAAGAACATCTCGCAATGCCAGAAGAAGAGATAGCCGCATGTAAATGCATCGTCTTGAGCAGTGCATTATGACGCAACTGGCAAACACCCAGGGTGTTTAACAATGACAGTGGCAACGAGCCGTAAACCCTTCTTGCGAGCGACGTGTCCTTTCCAAAGCTTTCTGACCTTCCGTATCGGTCATAATGATAGCTTTTTTGGTGACTTATTGAAGTTATTTTAAGAAGGTAAAGTAGTAGAAAGATGAGCAAAACACCAAAGATCTGCAAAATAATGTCTAATTTACAAAATACAAGTGCTATTTTTGAGTGGGCCTAATCTGGAGAACAATCCAACACATTAATGTAGCAACTGTTTGGTTGTAATAAATTGCTAGATACACCTGTTCATGGATTTTTTTAATCACAATCTCCCAAAAAAATCATCACAACTATTATTCAGATATTGAAAGATGATTGTTCATCTCACCACTTTAAAATCCAGAATCAAAACTACCACAAAGACGAGCCCTCTGTGTACAGCGTCACCTTTCTGGGTGGCAAGGCGAGACACAGGTGCCCCCAATCCCGCAATCGTTAATAATAATAATAAAAGTATTCTTAGGTTTTTTCGGTAAAGTCACGTGCTGTGACGGTTCCACCTGAAGACGGAGGCTTGTGTTGCCTCCGAAACGTCGTGATTTTTATTTTATTTGTATTTTACTTTTATTAATTTTTATTTTATTATTTTTACCTACGTGACTTTACCGAAAAAACCTAAGAATATGAATCCTTGCAGTCACGGAAGCTTCAAATCTAGAACTAATAAAAGTGTTTTACGCAAGAAAGTCCTCACATAGTCTCGAGACTCATTTTCAGGAGGGTCCGGCATTGGGTTATTTGGCCAGTTTCATAAACGAGAGTTTTGCTTGTTGGAGAAAACTGAAATTGCTCAAGAAAACCTACCATACACTCAAATCTGCGCACAGATGATAGCTACTTCGCTGCTCAAGCCTACAGCACCTGGTATTCTCAGAGATTCTCCCTTCCAAGTACTAATCATGCACAACCCGAGTGTGCAATCAGACATATGGCGAGATTGGACACATTTAGGGTGATTTGGTCATTGGAATACGACGATTGATGGTGTAATAAGCACTTTGGCCAGGTTCCTGCAGTACCTTTCCATGAGATACGCTCACTCACAGAAGCCTTTAAGTGACTCAGATTCAAATGAATATCGCATGGTATCAGGATGTACCGTTTCTCTCACTGCACATGTACGGCGTTCGTTGATCCTAAAATAGCATTTGAATGGCTGAGCAATAAGTAAAGGGTTGGCACCGTGCAGGTTGCGCTTTGGTTGCAATGATGTGTGTGAGATTCTGAACGAGGGTCCAGAGAACCCACACACACACTCGCAGTCTACCGCGTCTTCGCGCCCGAGAATTCGCAGCCCCTGGCAGGCACATTTCTAATTATCTGCCTTTCCAATTAGGGCTCGTTATCTCTCTCCTGACAGTGTAATAACAATGCACCTGCATGCCGTGGCAGCACTGGAATTTCATGCCCAAACCTCTGTCCTTCAACCGTTAACAACACCCACGCGCCAAGTGGTAATTTGCATGGATGGGGATACGAAGCTGCGTTTGGCTTAATCACATCGACCCTTTCTCCCACCCCACTGTGTCCCTAGGCCTGCAATTATTATTATTATTATTATGCCAGCCCGCTCTGATTTGATGATTGTCACGATTTTGGCGATGTGATGGGATTTAAGATTCCGTACTGTTTGAACGTTTACGATGCACTCTGGCGATCAAGTGAACTAACTTCATACCAAGTACCATTTATCATCGTCAGCAGCCATCTACTCTTGAGTGAAGGTCTTTCCAAGTCATTGCCATCTCTCACAGTGCTGTGAAATACTGTAATAAATTAATAATAATGATCAATTTTCACACGCACAATTTGATGTGTTGTGAATCAGGGCATTGTCGCACCTCTAATATGTGCGTTTCCCAGGCTTGACGCTCGCCACACGACTTTTGCATGTCAACTCCTAGGTCAGGGGTCGGTAACCTGTGGCTCCGGTGCTGCATGAGGCTCGTTAAGGAGTGACGCTATTTATTAAGGAACGTCTCGTATTTACATGCATTGCGGCTCTTGCAATATTGAGGGATTTTTATACCGCATTCGGAAAAATGCCTCTTCTTGATTTGGTTGCCAACCTCTGTTCTAGGTGTTGTAGGCTTGCTGTTTGTGTTGTGTTGAAACTTGCTGAAATATTATTATTCCATCTTTTTTTTTATTACAGAGGGCACGGTCAGACTTCATTGTGAGCAACTGGAAAGTGATGGAGGATGGACCGGAATTGATCATGGAGTCCGAAGGTACGGCCCGAGGAATGCCAGAGACTGGTATCAAGAGGAAAATTTCACCCTAAATGTCTCATCCTGGGCCAGTGGTGGTGCACGCTCGGATCCAGCGATTTGGAGGCGAACATTGGTGGATCGAAGAGATTTGTGACGGTCCCCGATATCACTGGCCTGCGAGATGGCCAAGAGTTTGCCTGTGCCGCAAGTGCAGCCTTTTGTACGAGGCATTTGGCCGTTTCCACCAATGACTGTTGGGCATTTGTGGACATAAACCAGAAGACCCATGCATACGAGAGAGGAACATCCGCATGCAGTGCCCTGCTCAAATACTAACCAGGCTCAACTCCGCTTAGCTTCCGCGGTCTGATGCGACCCGGGGATTTTGACCGTCGGTCTGCAGCACTCCCGCAGTGCCTCTCCCGTGTTTTCTCTCGCGCAGACTCGGCCGGCGAGCACGGCTTCTCGGCGCAGCACCGCGCGGCTAAGCCTCGCCGGAGCTCCTCTCGCCTCACCGACGGCAGCGCCAGCGGGCGGGCGAGGACTCGCTCGCAGGAGGACGCGGACGGGCCGCGCCGCGCCCGCTTGGGATCCTCCGACTCAGAGTCCGGTCGGGTGCAGCGGTCGGCGCTGTCCCGGCCTCTCGCAGACTCGGCTAAGAACTCGGAGCGGGATGAGTTCCCGCCGGAGGAGGACACGAGGCCCAGGCGCCGGAGGAGCATGCAGCAGCAGCGGCCAACGCGCTCGCTCGCCGCCTCGATGGAGGCCATGGCGCCGCACCTGGGCAGCAACGAGCGGCTCTACACCTCCAACCAGGCATGGCCACGGGGACGAGCGAACAGCGCATGGCTACCGCGCACGGAGGCGGAGGTGTCACTGGTTGTACGCGACGCGACCGATACATTGCGGTGACGCTCGGGCTGATGTCGCCGATGGTTGGGGCTACCGTGAGGAAGTGGGAGCAATAACGTAGCTTGTTTAAATCAGAGTTTGCCATGTGTGTTTTTTTTTGTTCGGAGAGGTTGAGTAGTTTCCCAGTTTCCATAATGGGATCGTGTCAGTTTAACAGCGACTGCCGGCGCCACGTGCTCTGATTGATGCATTGCTCTTGCAGTAGCCTCCCAATCATAACTGTAATTCGTTGGTATCTGTCACGTGGGGCTTACGTTTAGTTGAAATTATTCACCGCATCCTAAATGTATTCATGATACAAAATAAAAATGTCCCATTTATTTTAATTTTACAAATAACTTGTTAAAAATAAATTCCCCTTATTTAAATTAAAAAATCATTTGAAAAAAGGTAATTTGTAGAAAGTGACAAGATCAGTGGCGTTCAATTTTTGCACACAAATTGGATGGAAAAGTGGTTTCTGCTAAAAACATTCTTCAGTTCCATGGTCTCGTAATTTGCAACAGTTTAAATTGTTTCACTTTATGGAAGAACCCCTAAAATTTACCAAGTCGTTTAAAATGCATGTAGAGATTTTGAATCCGTTCACGACGGCCCATAAATGCCAATGTTCTAGAGAATCAGCCATAAGTGGAGGTTGACTTCTATAATTGGGGGGCAGGGGTTCGCTTTGTCCTCAAACTCCGCACATGGAATTCGCTTATTTTACATAGAGATAAATACACATCCTGTCTGTTAATTACATCCTAATTATTCATGATCCTACACCACAGCACATGATGAGTGTCCCATTAATTGGTAACAGCTGTGTTCTATTCACAGCTTTGCAGTCAATCTTCGCCTGTTGGGAAGTAATAATTGAGACTTCTTTGATGGTGATTGTTTTCTTTCTTGCCATCGTTGGTGCTACGATTCATGGTGACAATGTTGCGGTGCTGCTGCCTAAACCTTGCTCTGCTCGGGCCGGTGTTTCTGTGGTTTCTCTGCAATCCGGGTGTCCTTCTGCTGTGGTCTGACCTTTCCCCTCCTGCCTGCAGCTCCCTCTCCTCGTCAAGCGCCTGATTGCTATAGAGCAGAGCCTGTACCGGCTGGAAGGCCGAGTTGGCAGCTCTGTGGCTCTGGATGAGGTATGTGACCCTGACCTTGGAAACCCTGGGTGCTATTTACTTTTTTTGTATCTCGCTTACTTAACACAACGTTTGACAGAGACTGTGTGCATGATCTTGGGGGGGGGGGGCACCGTGTGAGAATTGCACAGTCGCAAAAAAATATATCCAATTTCACCAGGTCAGTTGAGAAAGTGAAAAACACTGTTCCCACAGGGCAGTCCGGGGGTGGGTGGTTATCCTACTCTCCTCAATGCAGTCACGCTACACAAACCGACCTCGTGACCAATCTCTTGTGTCTTTGTGTGACGAATGAGACAGATCATTAACACGTCCTTCTTCGCTTTCTGTGGGGGTTTTACCCATCTCAGGACGCCTTTAATCAGCACAACGAGAACCGCGGCTCAGCACAGCCGCCCTTTGAAGATGAGCGGCCGGATCCCCCCATGGATAACGGTTGGGCCACGGCTCGGAGACAGCAGCCGCAGCAGCACCAACGCAAGCAATGTGGGCAGCAGCAGGAGGACGAGGACCAGGTGGAGAGGGAGGACGAGGCAGGGCGACCGTTGTACCGGCGATTTGAAGAGTCGACGGAGCCACTGAGTGACTTTTCTGACGACGGCGATGAGATGCAGGGCGAGCCCCGGCGGAGGAATGACGGCGACAGGTGGAAGCCGGCCACGCAGGCAGGCAGCCCCGCGCGATGACGGCACACACCCGGCGTTTCGCACCTTGCACAGAGCGCGTCCTTCCCAGATCGCGTGTCTGTGGCGCATGTTTGGTTTTGGTGAATAGAAAATTGACAGCCGTACTCCCGAAGCTCAAGAGCTGAATTGTTAGTGGCATTTCCACACAAACTGCTGAAATTGTTTTCAAACTTCAAACCAGGCGGTCCCGGTTCAGGCACTGTGCAGCAGCTACTGAAGCGATGGATTGCACGGGAAGAATCGGCTTGAGATTTCGGCAGTAATTTTTCAACCATTTTTATCTATTTTATTATAATATAAAAAGCAGTTTGAATAACATATAAGCTGAAACTGGGCTGCACTTGGCCTTGATGTAAATTATGGGGTGTTTTTAAGAAAATTTATATACCAGAGAACTCCACTTCTGATGTCGCCCGGTATTTTGATGACACATTGCAACACGTACGCACACGGAATCCAATCTACGCACAGGGACACCGCGTGGACGTGGTTGGGACAAACCGATATGGACCCTGACTTGCAGGGCTGATGTCATCAACATATACACATGCAGGGCACTCTTTTTCTTCTTTCCTTGCATCATGCTGCATTTTGAAAGGCTGCCTCTGAGTTATTAAGGTTATTGTATCTTTGTGTAACGAAGTGGTGAGAACTCCAGAGTGCAGGACAGTCTCATTTTCAAGGGTGACCTGGGTCACCAAAACGACAAAAACAACGAAATAAAGTACAGGAACGAAAAAAGAACCCCAGAAATTCTAACAAAAACAACCGTGCACACACGAGAAATAAAAACACACACAAATCGATGCTGAACAAATAAACTCTCTGCAACGCCAGTCGACTCGGCTGAGGCCTACACGTCGTGAACTCCTTCCGATGGTCAGGCCACAGTTGGAAACCCAAAGAAATGCTGTTGGGCAGAGAAGCGTCAAACTCGTATTTAACTTCAAAACGCGTTAGTATTCTGAAATGGGAGAGGTTGACACACTGCAGCTTTTACCCCTTTATCATTGATTGCCAAACGATTTTGACTTGGGGTAGAAGCAGCTTGTATGTGTGTGTGTGTGGCTCATGTAAGTATTCTTGTTCCTAGCATATTGTTGCTTATTAGTGGCAATAGCCCTTGAGGATCAATTAGAAATGCTGCAGAGATTGTGGAGTGCCACTCACCGAGGGCTTATGGGTCCCTCGTGGTACCAGTAATGGCACAAACAAAGGCCTCTCCAATAAGCTCGCGTTCTTCAATATTTACTCAGAATATGAGCGTGAAGGCTCTTTTTGGAAGTGCCCGTGATACAATACGATGTATTTTGCTGACAAAGCTGTGCAGCATGCGGTCAGGTCGATTTTTTGTTCTCGGAGTGTAAGGCATGCTGTTCTTTTTTCTCCCACTGAATTATATGTTGCTTTCACCGTAGCTGAAGATCCTCTTGTGCGCCCATTATCTCCGTACTAAAGATGTTTCTGGCTTGGGCTGTTATTTGGGAGTGCATGGACTGTGGCTGAAAGTCAGATTGATCGGCTCAAGTCCCACCATCCCAGTTGTAGGCATTTCTGTATTTCCCACCCGGATATTCACATTCCCATTTCACTCAGCACTGGGAAACTGGCAAACTCGAAAATGGACCACACATTCTTCATCTCTGACTCTTGCATTAGTTATTTTAAATTGAATCGCAACGGTGAGTACACCAGCATTAAATAAAAATTGAACAGCGAAGCTTCCCAGCTAATGTTCTGGGACCAAGAAAAAAATAGCGAGAGGTCTGAAAAAAACATTGAATCGGGGAATACAGTTCTCTAAATATCAAATGCAAATTAAAACCCAGTGTGTTTTGACATGATATTTTCTTTTCTCGCGACCGATTTTGCTTGAGCGGTGTATTTATTGAAGCAAATTATTTATACGGCGAAAAAAATGTGTGAAAATATTTCGATTAATTGGCAGCCATTTTAAAATGGCAGGCACCGGGCATCTGACCTCCAAAACACTGGAAACGACACTGCAGTGCATGCCCAGCATGACGAAGTGATGGCATCGTCAGTTCTTTCCCACCTCTTCTTTGGATGCTGAAAACACACGTTTCAACTGCGCTCGTGGAGTTTATTTCTGAAAATGTTTTACACATTTTTATTTCATTGATTAAAGCAGTTATTGTAAAGTGAATTCATGATTTCCGTGGTCGATTAACCCCTGCACTCGTGACACGTGGTTCCATCATGTAAATGGCCTTAAGCTGCGCTAGTTACGTGACGAAACCCAAAACTCAAAGTGCATTTGGAAGTTATAGTGTACGATGGCCTATGCACATTAATTTACACACAGCGGCCCATCCAAAGGAGGGTGACGTTGGGGATCGCCACTTTCTTAAGAGTCTGACAATTGCTATTTTATGGATATTTACCGGATAAATTGCATTTAATGTTTTTTATCATTATTTATAGGGCCCTGTGGTTTGAATTTTCACTGGTCCCTACTCCGCACAGATATTTGACGCAACTGCTCCCCTGACGCTGACAGCTGTCTGGCCTAATGGACTCCGTCACGTCCATCATCGGCCAGCAAAATGTAGTTTTTAATTTTTCCGGCCCCCTCGTCACAGAGGGTTGTTCGTCACTCCCCATTCAGTTACACATCCCAGACCACCAGCCGTACGGACTGCGATGACGGGTGCCTCGTGGCCCGTGTTGACAAGGATTCAGGCCCTGTTGACAAGGGGGAAACGTTTACGTAAAGACATGGTGTGGGGGGTGCTGAGTGTCCGTAGCAATGTGGGTTGAGAGAACGTTGCTTATACCTGTGAAGTCCATTTTTCCAAGATAGCCTCACCGAGTCTTTAAACCTTTTTTTCAAAAGTTGTACTTTGATATAGTGCATCATTTATTGTTAACGAGTGTCCTGTGTGGTACGAAAGCTGAGTGCCCACACACAGAGACAATGTGATGAGCTGCAAAGGTCCTCATGAACAGTTAATTTGCTTGCTTGCTGTACTGCCACCTTACAACCAAACGCACTAGGTGTTTCACGAATGCACCAAAAGTGGCTCAAAGAGCAGGGAGCTCAGCTGGCACGGCTGGCGACTAAACCGTGTTCTCGGGCGCACATAGTTGGTGTTCTCAGGCGTACATAGTTGGTGTTCTCAGACTCTCAGGCTCGTTACATTTGGCTCCGCGCGTAAATTGCACCTCTGAAAATTAATAATTTTAACTCCCTCCCCATGAAGTGGCAGTGTGGGTGGGAGAGTGCTTGCCCCCTCCTGTGTGGTCTAGAGGTCACTTGAAGGGACTTTGGGGGTAGCTCCGATATCCATTCCTTGGACCGTTTTCTCTAACAAAGGGATGCACTGCTCTGCGAGCGGTGTGAACGGATGCTCTCAATGTCGTGACACGACACCGATAGCAGAATCGTGATCCACCAAACCCTTGCCGACAGAACACCACCAAGCCTGGCATCATTAACAACGTAACGCTTAGCATCTCGTGGTTGTACACAGGTGACGCCAGGGAATAGCAGGGCGAGCCGGCATGTGTGGCGCCAGAGGAACAGGGAGACGAGCAGCCCCTACAGCACGGACACCGACCTCTCCGAGCTCGAGAACCAAATGGCCAGCACCAAGGCCCACCTGGAGGATGCCGAGAGCCAGGTCCTCAGTGCTGCGCGTTGTCTGTGCGGTTATGCGGTCGGGTACTGGCTATAGCACACTTGTGCTACGTGCTCTGCCACCCGAGTTAGATTTTTTTTCTCAGCCAATAACAGTGGCGAATATTTGACTGGTCCTGGGCTCCCCTTAGCTTGACTCGACTTTAAATGTGTAACTGGTCCAATATTTAGGCATCGCCACTGGAGAAGACTAAGGTGTCTTCCCCAGTGGTGCTGGACACCCACCACATCGTGTGTCGTGCTGGCATTCATAGGTCCTTACTAACAGCACTTGCCCCAACAGTCTGCTCAGGCTACACGGGGAATCTTTATCTTCGTGGGAGTCAAACGCAAATACAACAGGTGACATCACTATCAATGCCACATGGCAATGTAATGGAAACGTGGCAGGGCTCAATTTCAGCCATGTCAATCTGTAAATTATTTCTGCACCCAGCACACCACATACAGTATACTGTTCACTCTGGCTGTAGCTCCGAACACGTACCTACTTCAGTTTACCAGTGACCCATAGAATATTCCCATGAGAAATTAGGCCCAGATCTACGGGGTATCCTCTGAGGAGTAATAATATTGGCAGGATATGTATTAATTCATTGATTTAAAATGGACTCTGACACTTAATATTGAATCGTGTGCGGTGGCGAGATGTTCACTCCCTCGCCTAGTATGCAAGAAGTCATAGGTTCCATCCCGACCCTGACGCCTGTATATTTGGAGTTTGCATGTTCTCCCCGTGGTGGCGTGGAATTTCTCTAGGTCCTCTGGTTTTCTCTCCACATTTATAAATATGCGCTTAGAGTATTTGGCTTCCATAAATTTTCACAGGATAAGCCTTAGTTAAGCTATCATTCGTGGCCAGATCGCTTCTGAAAAAGAGCTACATAGCTCGGCGGGCCTTACCTGGTAAAATTTTAAGTTTTAGTTTTTCATAACAATTGACTAGTTAACGATTTGTGTTCACTACATGCAAATGCTACGCATCTCGGCCTTCTGCACCCAACATTTAGTGATGCTGTGCGTGCGAATGCATGGACGGTTCGTGCATGCAGCTACTCAGGCACGGGCACCATGTTAGCGATAAAAGGGCTCCGTTCCTTGCTTTGCGTGTACCCTCCCGAATAATCGGCTGGCCCTCCTCTGACTGCAGGTGTCCGACATTGAGAATCGGATCGCTGCCCTGAACATGCAGCCCAGGAGGAGTGGGACACAGTCGATGTGAGGGTAGGTATTTTTTTTGTGGACAGTTAATCGCCTTTCTTGGAGAATCAATCCTCGTGGACATTATTTCGTTTGGTATACTTCGGACACATAGTGAGAAATGTCCCGCTTGTAGAATACTCCACAGACTTTTCTTTTCCACGATAAACCGTCCGACTCCAATGTGCATGACTATTGACAGTGACGTGATCGTGGCCAACCGTTTAGTGAGCCGCTGTTGCGTGCTTGTAAAACGTGGGTTCAACCTGTGCAATGTGATTACTACAACAACAACAAAATCCCATTGGTTTCCTGCTCAAGCAAGAATAATAGGCATTGCTCACCTTGCATTTAGAGCTGAGCCAGCGGTGGAAATTCATATTCAAACGATAGGGGCCAACAGTTACATGAGCAAGCAAATGCAGGGCTGCACCGTTATATTAGCTTTAATTTGCATTACTGTATAATTCTTCTGAATGTAAACTCAGAATGATGGGTTTGTTTTAAACGCTCCAAACATCCTGCAATATTCACGTGAATTCTGTCTGTGTGTGTGGTGCGCTGCACAGCCAAACACTGAAAAGAGACCGGCGGAGGAAGACAGCCGACACTAAGTAACTTGCACCTCCGTGTGGATGCAAAACTTCGTGTGCTTGGCGTAGCAAATGAAGATGCCTCGATGGGTGATCCAGGATTTTGATCTCGAACCCCGGTCGTCGACTCCAGAGTGCGGATCCTCACAAAGATACCAAGGATATTTATCAGCTTGCGGGAAGCTTAAGAAGGAATGTGTTTTGAGTTTGTTGTACACCGTATGATAGCTACTTCGCAGCGAGTAAAATTAAAATGCGTTTTGTCCCGACAGTTGTTCTTCGTTGTACGAATGTATTTGTGCTAATATACTTCAAGACGATTATCATGACTCTGTGTGTGTGTGTACACATCTGTGTCCGTGTGTGTGTACATGCAGTGTTTATACACAAGTGGGGGGAGCGGTGGTGTAGCAGTTAGCGCACTGCGCTACGCACTCGACAATCCGAGTTCGATTATTTTAACCGGTCCTGGGCCTCCCCTAGGTCGACTCAGCCTCAAATGAGTACCCGGTGTGGTGTATAAACATCACCACTGGGGAGACAAAGGCGACCGGGTGTGGTGCTGGCCACCCACCCCCTCGTGTGACGTGCCGGCCTTCAGAGGTGCTCGCTAACTGCACTTGCCCCAACAGTCTGTTAAGGCTACGCGGAAGGGGTATCTTGTCCTTAACTTTGCACAGGTCCGTGTGTTTATTAATCACGTGCCTTTGTGGGTGCACGTGTTGGTTTTTTTGCGATTATCTTTCTACTCGTGTGCTCGCCTTTGATGTTGCAGGCGTCAGGGCTGCGTGTGCGATGTGGCAAATGCAGCCAGTGTCTGCTGCTGCCCTGTGACAGTCGCCCATTCAAGTCGTTGCTGATGGACAGTATCCACTCATCTTTCAAATTACATTTGCTGAGAGAGACAAATATATGCAGGCACAGTCCAGCCAAACATTTTTCGCGTGTGCAGCGGCCACGGCTGCGAGCTTCTTTGCCGTAAGTTGATAAACAATTGGAATCGCAGGCGCCACCTTGTGTGTGTCCGGCTTTTGTACCGGACAACTTGGAAGCAGTGCCGGATTATCTTAGTAGAAAAAGTAGCTACATATGTAGCAAAAGTAGCTACATATGTAGCTACGGGCCCCGCACTTCCAAGGGACCCGCGCTAAACGCTTTCCAGCTATCAATTCGGGTTCAGTGATTCTGCACTTGCTCTATTACTGTAGTACTATACCACCGTCAACTATTATGAACGACTGGCGTTTTAAGGTTGAGCGATTTGTCGTATTATCTGGCTGTATAGCAAATGAAAAAATACAATTACTATGCAAGTTAACGTGTATGTGTTTTAATAGTTATGTTTTTATTTATTTATGGCCCCTTTATAAACATATGCTACAGGCTCCCGTACTAGCTTGATCTGATTTCGATTTAAAGCTTTCGTGACTGCAGGGATTCATCTTCTTGGTTCTTTCGGTAAAGTCACGTAGAAGGGAAGTAATAAAATAATAAAAATAAAACCTAATAAAATAAAATAATTCTCACGACGTTTCGGCTTGCGTTGTAGCCGAAACGTCGTGAGAATTATTTTATTTTATTATGTTTTATTTTTATTATTTTATTACTTCCCTTCTACGTGACTTTACCGAAAGAACCAAGAAGATAGCTTGATCTGCGTGGAAGCCTCCTTCAGCGATGTGTCGGCACCCGTCCAGAGGTGCGTCATAATACTTGCTCACTGTGCACTCCTCGGTCTTTGTGGGAGCACCGCTGTTGGGGAGTTGGGAAGCGTCGAGCTCCCGGGACCGGGTGGGCAAAGTGCAAGCGACATACTCAGCAGGAGGATGCGCTAAGTCGTTATTCAAAAGTGTGTGGGGGGGGGGGGGTTGTAGTGGTTGTGGCTGAGTGGGGGGGGGGCGTTACAAGCCCCCCCCCCCACCTGGCTAACCTGCCTCTGACATGTGCCGTTCCATCCGTGTATATAGTGTCATGCGTGTCGGGTATTTACAGCGTCCAGGTATGTGTGATTAAGGCGTTGTTCCTTGAGTGGCCGTTTCGAGATCACCGGGTTCATCGCGGCGCGGGTTTTCGTCACGTGCTCTGCGTTGTGGCCGAAACGTCGTGAGAATTGTATTGTATTATGTTTTATTTTTATTATTTTATTATTTCCCTTCTACGTGACTTTACCGAAAGAACCAAGAAGATGAATCCCTGCAGTCACGAAAGCTTTAAATCGAAAAGTGCTCTGTAAAGTTCGACGTTTCGGTTCTTCTCCCAGCACGAAGGGCAAAAATCCCAGGCATCACTCGGCGCAACCTCCACCCCCCAGAGAGATGAAGACATCGGAAATGTGTTTGTGTTTAGTTTGTTAACATTTCCCCCCGCAGCTCCGATCAGCGCGGTTCACACAGCTCTGAAACTAATGGGCGACAACAAAAACCACACCACGCGACAAGTTCTGCATCGTTTTCGGTGTTTTAAATAAAATCAAAGAATACACTTTCTGGTTTTTTTTTTACTTACAGGAAACAAGAGCGTGTTCTGTGCATTCGCTGCTGCCCGGTTAAACGCAAACGCGGCGCGCGCTCACGCGGCCGGGAGACGCGCGTGTCCGGGGAGGGGTTGGGGTGGCCGTGGCGCTCGGGACGCGCTCGCCGTGCGTGGCCACCGCGTCGCTGAAGCGTTGGGACATCATCTTCGTTGGGACATCGTCTTCGTTGGGACATCGTTGAGGGGTGACGAGGATGGGGGGGGGGGGCGACGAGGATGGCGAACGGACTTTGGGGGGGGGGTCGCAGGAGGAGGAGACTCTTGGAAAGAGAAGGCGGCACGGACACCACGTCGAAGTGTTAGCGCCACGCTGGAGTCATTTAACGTCAACAAAACACTTGGTGGTTCAAACAACGACAAAATTTTTCCGTGTTTTGTTTATACAGAGAAGGTTTTTTTTAACTAATATTTTTGTCATTTTTTTTCCTTCCTATAGGCATTTATAAAGCGTGTGTAAATATGTATCGTCTTGAGAGCGATATATGTTTTTACAGGAAGGTATATCTTTTCATGGAGCCCTTTGTTGTAGGACAGATTCCCGCAGGCCATTTCGGTCATGGGGATTTTTTGACCATACTTCACCGTGGCTGGCAATCAAACAGTGTTTTTTCTTGTCGGTAGTGGAGTGCTAACCACTGCGCCACTGATCCGCATTGAACTATAACTTCATTCCGCTATGGTGGCATCGCATGCCTGTCGTCCATCACTGTGCAGACAAGGGCTGATAGATCTTGACTTAAAGCTTTCGTGACTGCAGGAATTCATATTCTTTCTGAAAAGTCACGTAGATAGGTTCAAAGAAAATAACAAAAAATAACATTAAACCAGGACGTTTCGATCGCAACACAAGTGTTCGTCTTCTTGATGACAAACGTTTGTGTTGCAATCGAAACGTAGTTTTTTGTTATTTTCTTTGAACTTATCTACGTGAATTTACCAAAAGACCCAAGAATATAATAATAAGGTTCTAGATTTGAACCTCTTTACTTGATACAGCTATCGTGCTGTGACTGTTCCACCTGAAGACGGAAGCTTGTGTTGCCTCCGAAACGTCGTGATTTATTATTTTATTCCTTTTATTTCTTCTATAATTTATAATTTTTATTATTTATTTTTTACTTACGTGACTTTACCGAAAAAACCTAAGAGTAATAATAATAAGGGTTGATAGATCACACAAATGTTGCGAAGCTTCCTTCCTGTCGGCATCGAGGTGCCATACTATCGTGGGGGGGTCAACCCCGTGACAGGGTGAATGGGGTGGACCACGTGTTTGAATGTATGGGATGTACTGTGTGTGGAGCTTCTTTCACACACTGTACGTCGACAACCGCGCTAATCAGAGTTGCGGGAGGAAGGACAACAAACTAAACCACACAAAAGCAGTTTTAAAGAAACACAATTTCAATCTAGATGTAAAAATTCGGGTGATGGTGATCTGGCACAGGAAGAGCCGGTTTGGGTTTGCCAGGTGATGAAGGAATTGATGAGCCTCATTGAGGTCACCAATTCATCAGTAGCGCAGCCTGCGCTGTGAATTAAATAATCAGTGAAGGAACCGCGTGCGGTGATATTAATTCAGGACGCGTGCAGAGAAAACACGCGCGTCGTTCTATACCGAACAGGTGCGTGGCTTAATTTCATAAGGAGATTAAGCAACGGACCGTGCCAAACGCAGCTCAAGTTTCAAATACACTGCACTGCATGAGGACCCCCCCCCCCTTTTCCACCGTATGGAAATGCGGCGAGAGACCACAGCAGAAGGACAACCGGTACGAGCATCTCTGCCCATTATCCATCTAGCAGTAGAGAGAGAGAGAGAGGCGTGACCACGGAGAACAGCCACGCCGAATGCTGTAAGTAGCTGCATTGCACCACAACAGGCTGCCTGGTCATGTGATTTTGAAACTATGTGTTGTATTATACAGCACGGCAGGGTTGTAAATTAAGAGTATGTCCCCCCCCCCCCCCCCCCCCACTGGGTAGATTTCCGTGGTGGTTGGTGGTGGTGGTTGGTGGTGGTCTGGTGGGGGAGAGAAGACATTCTAGCAGCGTGGGGCGAGGGAGGCTGCCTCTGGCGCCATCCTGTGGGGGGACAGGAGCGGTGCGCTGCGTTGCAGCTGAGCCCCCCTCCCCCGCCCGCCACCAACATGTCGATAGTCTGACGTATGTTGAACTTGATAATTGTTTTTTTTACCCTTCTATCTGGCAACAAAACTGACACCTTTTTTTACAAGGAGTCATGTTTTCATAGACTTTTTTCAATACCTGCAGTCGTAATGCAAACGCCAAAAGGCGTCATCTGGTCCAACCTATGTGAGACTAGGCTCTAAGGAAAGCTGTCTCGGGTGTGGACCAATCAACTTCAAGGACAGTGCATACATTATCAGAGTTATGTTTCTTGTTTGCATTATGACTGCAGGTATTGTGGTCTATGCAAACATGACTCCTTGTAAAAAAAGGTGTCAGTTTTGTTGCCAGATAGAAGGGTAAAAAAACAATTATCATATTTTTTACTGGCAAATGAGGTTCCAATGGTGTATGTTGAACTTCTTTCGCACCGTACGTAGCCAACCGTGCCGTCACTACCGTCTGACTCGTGCCGTTAACAGTCCTGCTCGGCGTGGTAAGCAGTGGCTGATAAGGGGGTGGTGATCTGGCACTGTTGTGCCCTGAACCCCCGAGAAGAGCTAGACCTGCGGGTGACGAGAAGATGAGCTCAGAGGGCCACATGGGGCTCGCCATGGCGAGGAGTGCAGATGTCACGCCGTAAGGTCACTTGATTGAGCACCCAGGTGGGAATACTGCGGTGGAAGGGGTGTCTCGTCAAAGGGGCGTTAGAAGTCTTTAGGGCAGTGGTTATTCTTAACCTGGGGGTGCAAGCATCCCCTGGGGGTGCAAGCATCTCCTGGGGGTGCAAGATGCCCTTTCTGGGGGGTGCCAGACATGGCCAGATTTTTTTGCGGTAAATAATCGAAACACAAATTAACCACTGCCACGGAAGTACAACTGCTTAGTTTAACCAGAGCCGATGTATGTATTAACATCGAGAACCAATGGGGTGCAAGGCTGCAGTGAAGGTGAAGAAGCCACTGATTTAGGGGGTGTCAACAACTCCCCGAACCCCCACGGAGAGCGGTCAACATCGCAACGGTTGCGAACCACCGTGGTGACTCGCGCTCCTGTTGCAGATAGTGGGAACGGCCCCATATCCGGAAGGATCGGCAAAACGGCCTTTTATGGCCACAACGGTGGCTAGTATTATTGTAACTTTCTGACCTGTCCCCTACTGAATATTTGTGGGGTGGGGTGGGGGGGGGGAAGAACTTCGTAACTCGTCGGATTTCTCCCGGGATAAAGAGATGCTGATTCCGAGGTAGTCTTATCCGAGGAGATGAGGTAGGTGTGGAGTGGGTGCGTGTTTGGTCGTTACTATTTGTAAGCTACTGGTGGGTACGTGTTGTGACCTTGATGTGGGGAGCGGGAGTGTGGCAATTAGCGCTGCGCTACGAACCTGGCCACCCGAGTTCGGTTCCCCGCTCACGGCCAACATCGGTGACGATTATCTGAACCGGTCCTGGGCCTCCCCTAGGTCGATTCAACCTCAAATGAATACCTGGTTCGGTACGTAATAAACATCGCCACTACGGATAAAAAAAAAGCGGCCAGGCGTGGTGCTGGACACCCACCCCCTCGTGTGCCTTCATAGGTGCTACTCACTAACAGCACTTGCCCCTACAGTCGGTTAAGGCTACACGGGGGGATGACTTGATGTTCGAAGTTGCGCTATCGTGTGGAAATGTGTCTGGCTTGACCTGGCCTACAATTAAGGACCGTCAACCCAAGAAATGCG